AAACTATGAATTATTCTATTAATTCATATTTATATTTACATAACATGTATGAAAATAAACTATGAATTATTCTATTAATTCATATTTATATTTACAGAACATGTATAAAAATAAACTATGAATTATTCTATTAATTCATATTTGCATGACATGTATAAAAATAAACTCACAAAATTGGAAAAAAAGAAACAGTATAAATAAAAAACATTTCTTAAACCCTTTCAATAAAAACAAAAATTAAACAAGAGGAAAAATAAGCCCTTCGATGTTTTTTATAGATCACACTATCATTTCTTAACATTAATGTTCCAATCAGTGCACACAAGCTATATTAAGTGGCATCTCTGTAACAAGGTTACATTACCTATGGCTCATTTTCTTTTTAGGAGTCAATTTATAGAACACTCTTTCCAAAGCTAAACTGAAACATTAATAAAATGTACCTGCTATACAAATATGGAAATTATTGTTTTAAGTTAATATATATAAAAGTTTTACCTTTGGTATTCCTGGTTTAGGTCCACGCTTTTTCTTTCAACTTTTTCTTTTTCTTCCATCTCCTGATTCTCTCTCTCAATCAGTGTGATGAGTGTGTTGCACCGCCGTTGCAACTCCTGTGCGTTATGATACACAAAAACTAATAAATTTGATTGTACATAATAATTAAAATTTTTTGTATAAATCATTGGACTGTTCAAAAAATCCAACAAAAATTATGTTAATTAAATTCTTTCCACTTCCGGTTAAAACAAACTACACGTACATCACACAAGAGCAGTTGTTACCTTCTTGAAACTTTACTCCAAGAAAATGTTAAAATAAGCAACAGTATTTCTACCGACTTAACTAAGCTACAAGACATCTGTATCCTGAAGTTTGATTCTAAACAGCAGCGTTATCCTTTATAACAAGACCAGTTTTATTTAACTCTTAATTTCTACTGTAAGTCGTACACAGATTTCTGTAATACTTGTATGTATTTAAAAATATTGTGTCAAAATTGAACCAAAATAATTTATTCCACAAAAATTTGTTTTAATTAAGAAAGAAGAATACAAGAATATAAATATAGCCCTTACTCCAGCTGTTCTAGACTTGATGAACCAATCAAATCGAAACTGAGGAGCCTGACGAATAGCAGCTCGCAGTTCATCATAAACATTTTCTTTATCAAAGCCCAACTTATGAAGCATGCACACCAAGAACCTGTCCTCTTCCTCTGTGTAGTTCTTCCCTTTGTTAGTACCATATGCTATTCTAAGCTGGTGGAATGGTGCCCTATAACGAACCATCTAAGATCGGAAAAACAAAAAAGTATGTCTGTTATTCTATCCTCACCAACTAATTCTTTATGTAAAACATTTTTATTCACAGCACTTGCAACCATAACTTTCACATCCAGTATCCATGCTGTTATAAAATTTACTCCTAAGCTGGGTAAATACATGTCAATTAAGACTGATATTTAAGTCTTCAAGATGCTGTTTACAAAACTGTTCAGTTAACTCTCTCGCTATGAAATGAGACAGATCAACTCATTATAGTTTCCATACTATAGCTTTAAATACACTTTGACTATCTTCACAAAATTTGGCAGACGTTTAGTAAATGTTACAAGTCTTTTGTACACAAAAAAAAACTAGATTTTTAATGATGTATTTTTACTAAAGATTTGTCTGTGAGTATATATAGTATTTCTCATATACTTGTTCCAAGTGCTAAACGAGTTCCATGTTAAGATTAAAAATACTTTTCTTTGTCTCAAAAATCATAAATTTTGTTTGCGTAACCTCTAAAGTCTCTCAAGTAAATTTCATATATTTTTTTCTGTAAAGCATTATATTTTAACTGTTATTTTCTCTACCCTAACTTTATACAAGGTTGGTCAATTTGACTGATCTCCTAACCACATAAAAACGTTTTTTGAAAATGATTTCAAATTGGAATATGAAACTACATTTGTTTATCATAAATATCTTTACACTGATAACAGTATATATCTATTTATACCTTATATTTGTGCCATTATAAGCTGTAAATCACTTGATGAACAAGCAGCTCACATTATGTTACAGAATTACATTATACAGGATACTTGCGAGTGTAGCCTGCAAAATCTTTTATTATATTATTATTTACTTCACTTAACCTATCCTTAACTAACATAAATTTCCTATTTCTACATCTTAGTTACTTTTACAATAATAAATAAATACACATGAACAACAAGAAAAATAAAAGTACAAAACTTGGTCTTCTTTTTTTTTTGCTTTCAATTGTTGGTGATACTTAACCCTACTTTTTCATTCTAATGGTAGTAATGCACTAAATTATTTTTTAATTAATTAAGTAATGTACCAAAGAACACAGAATAATAACGTACAAAAAGCAGACAATATCCCATAAGTATCACAATTTATAACTAAGAAAAAAGAGCAGCTCTAAGTTAGTCAATGTGTTTCCAGTGGGAATCAAGTTTGAATCCAAAATGAAATAATATAATATAATACATCATTTGACAGGTGAAAACCTTGGCTTTCTATTGGTTGTAAATAATATAGTATTGAACAGTGGGGAGAACTATTGGCAATTTCTGAAACAGAGGATGTGACAAGAGGAGTTTGGTTTTCTATTTCATGGCTCTGTAACCAAATAAGATCGTAGGCTATGAAAATTATGCTTTGCCTGAACGATGGTGATATTATACTAAGTATTATATTACTATAATTATTTATACTTGAGGGTGGTAATATAATAGATAGTAGAAGAATAGATGCACGAGAGTAAATAGTTATAATATCACAATT